GTTATAAAATCAAGTTTAGATTATGTTGTTGTAATTTTGTAATTGAGGTTTGGATATACTGATAGTTCCTACCAATGTAACACTCCGAGTAATAGAATAAAAGTTAGTAATTGACCGTTGTATTATGATTGCTGTTTCGTYCCCTTATATACTAGTGTAGTATAGTGTTTAACACAATTCTAGATTTCGCTTCACAAAAATATCTGAGTTCGGTGCCACGACTGGCTCGCACCAAGCCGACTATCGGAATTGTTTTGCAATTAAGTGTGTTCCGCTAAAATAATATTATGCATAATGCATAAAAAAAGTGTTCATTGGTTTCAAATAATTTCACCGAGTGTCCAAATTCCCAGTCAAGACATTTTATTTACACGTGAAAAACATTCGAATAAATGTGTATAGGCGGTAATGGGATAAAGGCAGSGCCGGATTTAAGGTTGTGGGGGTTCCAGTGCCCACATAAGATTGAAATATAAGAATCTTCAGATGATCTATATTTTGTTTTAAAACTTAAACTTTAAAATTATATCACTGATGGGTTATTCCCTTATCATGCTATTAATTTCTTATCTCAAATGCAATATTTTTTTGCAAATTAGTAGAAAAATTTTTTTTTWAAAGGTAATTATTTTGTGGGAGTCCCATGCTCTCCCTAAATCCGGCTCTGGATATAGGTATACAGTCTGTRTGCGGTTTTTTATTGGAGCCGAAAAACGTGCATATTAGTTTATAAATCACTCAAGGAGCTGGGTGGGAAAATTCAGTGGGCTGCGTTGTATTATTCATTTTACTATCACCAACGGTGTGTGTTATCAACAAAGCAGTTGCCGACTAATCAGTCCACTGATATAGTGATTTGCGACGTCCGACCAAATGCGCTCAATAATTATTACTAATATTCGTCGATAAGTTTTCGTTTTGAATCTACAGACTTTATAATAATTTCAGAATCGTCACGCTTTTACTCCGAATTCAGTCATTCGAAGAAGTGCACACACRTAGTCACAGAGGTAARTTCCATTCTAGTGAGTCACTATTACCCACTAATTACTATACTATACTTGTTAATTTTGCTCAAACACTTTGTCGTCGAAAAATATTATTCGCATCTTTCGACTTTTCGAGTATTGCATTTATGCCCACCCGACCACCCATCGACAAACCCATCTAATCCAAGCTTGATCACGCTGTGTGTGAATAGCGTCGTACATTCACGGTTTCTGTGATTTTTATTATTGATTCTTTTGAACAGTTTACAACTTAATTTCTGTACATAAGCATATAACAATATTTTTTTACATGTACATCTATATTCATTTCAGTACTGAATGTTGGTCTCAACAAAATAAAATATTTACTTTTAATAATAATTTAGGACAACTCAAGTCTGAAACTTGACAGATTAGCCATTGTACATCTTYGATAAGTCAATAACATTTTAACTTTAGTTTAAACTTGCTTATCGCAAACTCTGATATAGAATATCTATCTATGTACATGATGTGGGTGTGTCATTGAACGTTTTGATTGAATAAAATAATAATGTAATATTTTATATTTATATATTTTACAGAATTTATAAACGGTAGTTTAAGACACATTTATACTTGAATGAGAAAATGACATTCTTTTACAAGGGACATGAAGAAAAGATACCAGAAATAAAATGCTGGTATCCAAGAACAATAGTTTACGATCCAATAAAAGCTGGCAGTATTGATGGCACTGATAATGAACCACATGATGCTGGAATTATTAGAGCCTTAAATTCTGAGTATAAAACGTCCTACAAGGCTAAAGGAAATCCCTTAAATACAATATTTGTAGGCAGACTAAGCTTGGATACAACAGAGAAAGATTTAGAAAATGTAAAATAATATTATTATTCTGAAATTATAACTAATAAATAAGTAGATTGATTTTGTATTATTTTATGACCAAATTGATTATAACAGGTCAATRGAAATAAACTAAAATATGTTTAGATGATAATAAGTGCAAAATTGATAGTATAT